AGGACCTCCTTCCTTCCCATCCACATCCCCAGGACCTCCTTCCTTCCCATCTCCATCCCCATGACATCCTTCCTTCCCATCTTATCCCCAGGACCTCTGCTCTTCCCATCCTCATCCCCACGCCCTCCTCCCTTCCCATCCCCTTTCCTAGCACCTTCTTCACTATGCCAGCCTGAACTGCATAGTGAGATCCTCTCAAAAAGATAAAAAATACAAAAAATAAAATAAAATAAAATAAAGCCTGCTGGGAGTACTCCAACTTCAGAGGCATCTACAGAAGCCTGGCCTCCGCTTTCTGACGTCAGTGACAGAGAAGCTTGAGCTCAGGTCCTGAGGGCTGTGGCCCATGTATGGGGAGGACGGTGGTGCTGCCCAGATTTCAAGGACAGGAATGAAACTGTGCCCTCGCTGAAGGACTTCTGCTCCTGGTCCCCCATTCCATACCCATCTGTCAGGTCCTCCTGACACTGGAGGTCCCTAAGCAGCCTTGGGAGCCAAGTCCTGTGGTGTTGGGATCAGTAAGAGGGAAAGAAGGTGTGCAGCTGGCAGGCAGCACAGGGCTCTGTTAACAGAGATCCTCAAGAAGCACCTACATATTGCAATTTTCAGTATGCGCCCAGAAAGCACTACCACTGCCCCAAGAGGCACACAATTCGAATGTCTTGTTCATTGCTCAAGACCACTCCAGTACACATATGTAAATCCAATCCTCAGCCTCGCTTCCCAGAGAAAACTTCCAAACGAGGCATTTAGGGCTTCACTCTCCTTAGCTCTGCAAAGAGCAGCAACAATTTGTGCACCAGAAGTTGGGGCAGAGCAGGGGCTCCACTTCTGCTCACAGCCTAGGATGGAGGTGATCCCAACACTGCAGCCCATGCCATGTCCTCTGAGTGTTCCAGGTTAGCTCAAAGACCTGAGGAGCAGACACCAAGGTCTGGGTCAGACCTAGCCTATGTCTCTGCCCTGCCTGTTCTGTAAATAAATTTTATTGGCAGTCAACCTCCTTATCTACCCATTCATTGTTCTTGGCTGCATATGGTCTGAAACATTCAGTACAGGGGTTTGTCACAGGCGGGAGGCTGCTCCTTCTCCCTACCTAACTGGGCTAACAATTTGGACCAGGAGCCATAGATGTGACCAACAGCATAACAAGGCATCCCTCAAGGCAGGGGAGGACAGTACCCTCAAACTTCTAGCTGAGCAAGTGAAAAGCCCAGAACACCATAGCAGGAAGATGAGGTCTGTGAAGGAAACCATAGGACCACTTCCCACCTGTCTGGGTTTTTAAAAATTTCCAGTTGGAACCAAGTGATTCTGCCCTGAGAAGAGCCATAGGTCGCATCCCCAGCTTCCTGTTTGCCTTCTTTCCCTAGAACAAGGGCTGTTGGGCAGCCTGGTGGTGGGAAGGCAGGAGACCACAGAGGTGCTTCCGGTGAGTCCATCAGACAGAGGCATTTCCAACCCCCTATGCACAGAAGGCACCATTTTCATTGCATGGGGCAATTTGCTGTCCTGCCTCCAGGCAGGCAGTGCTGTGGGAGGAACCTAGTTCACTATGGCACCACTCACCCACCCTGCAGAGCCACTCTGCTCAGGGAGACTCAAGGGTGGGTCATGTGGACGAGGACGATGAGGCAAAGGCTTGCATGTGAGAGCACAGAGGACAGCAGGTCAAGGGGCTCGCAGAGGGGAGGCAGCAGGAAGCAGGGCAGAAGGGGCCCTTCAGTTCTGCCTCACACTGAGGGTGAAGCCAGGAGACAGGTGCTCTGGAGGAAGCTGATCTGTGGCCCTGGTGTCCTTATTGACCTGCCGCTCCCCACTTCTCCATGGGGAGAGGGACCACAATCCCCAGAGGTCCCACAGCTTCCTAGCATTGGACTCTATGAGATACGCTCACTCCAGGCCCAAAGCCAGAGCCTCCTCCGTGTCTGCTTGAGTTCTTATCACCCAACCTGGGCCTTTAGCTAACCTCACCCAAGTGCTACTTTTTAATTTTTCTGTGATGGCTTTTTCTTCCTTTTCAGTATTACCATCCAGAGCCTCAGCCTGAAGCCCTTTTCTAGAGGCCCAGAAGGTGAATGTGTTGGGTTATCCTGGCCATTGGGTCACTCTGGCTTCTTCCTCTCCTCTTCCTCTCTTCCTATCCTCCTTTAAAGGCCCAGCATGTGGCCAGTGTGAAGGCAGGGGGCAGGGCAGACCCGGGCTGGTCTCTGAACAGAGACAGACTTGTAGCACCCTGGGCCCAAGAGGGCAGCTCAATGCATACCCTGGGCTCCCATGGCCCTCAGAGCTCCTCCTCAGCTACATGGGGCAGGAATACAGGCTCTACATCCATGGCCTGCTTACAACTTTCACTTCAGGCTGAAGGGCTAGAAAAGAGACCTCAGGATCCCAGCACCACAATAAAACCAGCTAATCAAATGCTTGTGGAACACAGTGCTGCACAAATGGAGACAGGGCCTCTTTCCTGCTCCTAGAACACTGCAGCAGACAGTGTGAAGCCAGGCAAGGGGCCCTGTGCCATCAAAGAGACCTCGGCAGCAGGAGGGTGAGTGGAAGAGGAACTCGGGATCTTGTATCTGGCTGCACAGAGCCCATGTCCCAGGCGAAAGGGTAATGCGGAGGGGTGGCACTGCCACGGAATGCGGCCCAGCCCAGCCAGAGAGCAACAAAGGGGTGAGTTTTGGGTGCCTCCCCAATGGCTGCAGAACTCCCTCTGGCTGACATGGGAAGGAGGTGGGCCCAGGGTTGTACCCTGCTACAGACAGCTATCAACTGTCCATACCAGCACGGGTACCAGGAGGCACTCCAGGGTGAACATCACAAGATCTAGCATCACCATGACAGCTGTGCAGACCTCTTCCTCAGCATCCCCAGGAGCCTGGGCAAAGGGCACACAAGGCTGTCCTAGAGGAGGCCGGCCTCTGTGCACACAGTGGGGTGTGGGCCAGGCTATGCCCACACTGTGATCAGAAGGTGTCCTACGACAGCCCAAAAAGGCAGGCTCAGCCCAGAGGGCCCAGGCCAGCTGTACCTGCCCCTCAGGAAGCAGCAGCCCAAGGACAGCTCTCTGGGGAGCATGGGTCCAGGGGAGGCAGCCTGGGTCACAGCTGGCAAATACTTCAAACACAGAAGCACTGCTATAGATCACAGCACCAGTCTTGGGTGAGGACCAACACGTGCACGCATGCATACCTGCCACTGCGTAGGTGTGCATGTGCATGGTGAGGGTATGGGTATGTGTGCACATGTGGATGTGTGGGCACAGGCCTGTGTGTGTGCACCTATGTGTGTGCATGTATTGGGATGTTTTTAGGCAGAGTCTACACTGAGAGCAAACCACAATTCTCCAGCTCAACTATTCTATTTTTCTAAGGAAAACTCTCTATGTAAAGTTAGCTGAGTTAAACTTCAATAGTGATGGTTCTCCCACAGTCACTGGTGCTCTCCCCAGTTTGGTCCCAGAAGGATGCCGCTGGGCCAGGGTAGGGCTGGGGCAGTCAGCCATGGCCCCAGGAGGAATGCACAGCTGGCTGCAAAAAAAGCCTCAGGGAGGAAGGGGCCCCACATGCACCTGTGTGCAGGTCCAGCACCCTAGAAGAGCTGGGTTTGGGGAGGAGCCACACTCAGCCAGGCCCCTCTACCTGCGCAGGAAGGCTTGTCCACTCCTCTGTAGGCAATGAGTGTGGCTGCAGCATCACACCTGACCTCAGAGAGGCCCCTCCTCCTGTCTGGCCTCAGCCTACAACTTCTGCCCTTTATGTCCCACTGTGATAGGTTTTTCCAGAACTTCAGATAATGACTCTGTTTACATCCTGGGAACACCTAAGTCTGATTTCTCAAATCTACAAAGAAACCAGCAAACGTGAAATCAGCATTGGGTCTAGAAACAGAAGGCACTGTGGAAAAAGTCGTGATGAAAGCAGAGTAATACCATCAATTCTGGTTCTGAGCTCTGGCCCTTCCTGTGCTAAAGGGGTACTCGTGAGCCTTGCAGATTGGCTCAGGGTGTCCTGCAGTTGGCAGTGACTCTGTCCAGGATGCCCAGGAGATGGAGGAGGACCCTGATATCCACAGCACATGGAGGGGGGCCAGGCAGGGGAGCTCCCTGGTGCAGCTCTAGACATCTTTGTGCTCTTCCAGGATTGGGACTGCTGGGCACAGAGCCAGGGCCGACACTGAGATCCCAGGGACACTGTGGGCTGGGACCTTACCTGGGTGGGCACAGAGCAGGGCAGGCCCGTGAGCTCCCCAATCCGGGCCGCGGCGCGGGGGTCACTAGAGCTGATGAGCACAGGGGCGCTGATCTCCATGGAGTGCCTGTGGGTGGCCGCCTGCGAGGACTTGTGTGTCACGCTGAGTGCCGTGAAGGAGTGGCGTTTCTTGGCATTCTTCTTACTGTCCATGCGCCGCTGAAAGGCACTGACAGCCCCTGAGCTGCCTGCTGCAGGGCCTGAGCCCGAGCTGGCCACCGGGCTGGGGTCCGAGGGCGAGGGAGCAGCACAGCTGGATGCTGCGGCAGCAGCTGGGCACAGCTTGTCCATCTCAATGAGCTGCTTGGCAGAGTCGTTGAGCTGGGTGAGAATGGGACAGGGCATCACTAGGTGGCTGTCACCAGCTGTGCTTGCTCAGTGCTCCCTGCCACATTCTTACTTAGGGACCAACAGCATTCACACCACTGGGGTCTTTCTCACCTGGCTTCCTGCACAAGTGCACAGTGGGACAGGCAGCAGGTTGATGGAAAAGGTTTCCCTGGGAGCTGAAGAAAGCAGGGCTCACAGGACAGAGGGGTTTCCACCCCAGCCCCCATCATTAGTTTAGGGGCAACCTGCAACCCCACAGAAACACACCAGGGCACGGAGAGGGAAGGAGGTAGCCTCGGCCAGCCCCGCCGGCTGCACCCACTAGGACAGCTACCCACTGCCCCATGTACCCACCAGTGCAGTATTTCCGCTGGCTGCAACTGAGGCCTCCCCAAGTGCTCTAGACCCCAGGCCATAGCCCATTTCCACGGGAGGTGGCTGATGGTGGCCCATGTGAGCTGCACAGTGCTGTCCTGAGCCAGGTTCACAGGAGTCAGCAGCCATTCAGCAAGGACTGAGCTGAGACTCCTCCCACACTTTCACCTGTCCCACCAGACAGAAGATGCTTTCACAGTGGAGGCAGCCCTTGACAACATCTTGTCCAGGTGGTACGTGATAGGAAAGAAGGGCTGCAGACCTCCCCCTGATGAACATTCAGCCAGGCCTTTGGGGGCTGTGCCATTGTCTGCATGGCCCCATGTGGGTCCCCAGGCATGGCTCCTGGCAGATCTGTAAGCCACACCACTGCAGGAGGAAGAGCCTGAGGTTGGGTTGGCATCTGGCAGGGCCCCAGACTATGAGGTAGTGGGTCTGGTCACCCTCTGTGAGCTTCAGTGTAACTGTACCCCACCCCCTGCAGGACATTTATACTCATGATGCCTGGTGCAGCCCTCTCTTCCCAAGTATGATTAGTTCAACCTAATGCATACTTGATGAGGGTATCTGTAGAGATTTACAAAAATAAAAGAGAACTGTTTATTGTGTACAAGGTGGTCAGGAAGAAAGTGTGACACTGGGTCAACAGCCACAAGACAGGCACAAAGGTGCCAGGCTCAGCTTGATGAGCACCTGCCAGGTCCCTTCCTTCTTCCCAGTGTCCAGAGCTGGAGAGGCTGAAGCAGTGCCAGCCGCCCTTCAGGGGTCAACACAAGTCTGGAAACCCAGAGCCCCAGCCATCACCTCTGCACCTGTCCTCAGCAGGCAGAGCCCACAGGGCCACACAGCTTGTCTTTGGGACAGCTATTTGGGGTTGGAGCCCTGGGGCCTCTGCAGGGCTCCTGGGCAAGGGTGTGGGGTCTTCCAGAATGAGGGCTTCCCAGAAACTGCAGAAGAGAGTCACTAGGGGAGGCCCCATGTTCAGAAGGAAATGGGGGTGGGGGCACAGTCCAGGAAGCCCATGGGGGGAGCAGGAAATGGGGCCAAGTGGGCCCATACAAGGACCACAGGTCACCTGGGCACTGCTCCCAGGTAGAGGCAGCACTGTCCCCCTGCTAAGCCTGTGTGCTGCCCCATAGGACCCTCTGGATAAAGAAGTAGACTGGCCATGTCCTCTTCACTCTTCGCTCCAGGGACACAAGGCTGAGCGCCAGCCTCTCCTCCTGCTGTGAGGTCCTTGTTGCGACAGTCGGGAAGATCTCATCCTGAGGTTCTCAACATGTGCAGATCCTTCCCTCCACTGACTGAGAGACAGCACCACCTGGCTGGAGGCTGGGCTGCTGAACAGAGACCAGCAGCCCCTCGTGGCAGTTCCTGGGGCAAAACCAGGCCAGGGATGCTCACCCTCCTCCCAGCAGGTTCCAGTGATCACACTGCAGAGCTGGCCCTGCACCCGGCCGCAGAGCCATCTCCATCAGAAGGCCTCTTGCCAGCCTTGCACATCCTCCTCTTCTGCCAGTAGCCATGGCTCCTGCGCCAGCTGATGATGTCCCCTTTCCACTTCCACATCTGTGAGCCTCAGCCCCCACAGTCCCATCACCAGGCTGAACGTCCATAGCCAGGGACTAGGATGGTCCCCATGCGGCAACTGTGGGCTGAGGGCCCAGGGTGGGGAGGTGGTGAGGGCCGGGGTCGTGAAAGGCCCTGCTGCACCCTCCACATCCCACAGATCTTCTTTATGGAAACAGAAGACACGCTCATCTTATAGGAAGTAGGGAGACAGTTCTTCTGCGAAGGGGAAAGGGACCAAGAGATGGAGAGAGGGGGAAAGGAGGGAGGGCAAGGGGGTAAAAAAGAATTAAGATGTGTTATGTGTGCACCTGCCAATTCCCTATGAGGAATGTGATCATTATGTACTGCAAATGTGGACCAATACAGGTAAAAATTAAAACCTTCCCCACAAAGGGGACTGGTGGCATGACTGGTGGCACGACTGGTGGCATGGTCTTGGTCGCTTGAGGAGTCTCGACACACCTATTCCCTTCCCATGAGGATGTCCCTGGTACCACCCTCTCATTCTGTGGGTGCCCTTTGGGGCCAAGCCTGACCCCACACTCCTGGGAGCATAGGGTCAGATGAGACAGAGGTCAGCAGGGTAGACAGCAGGACCCTGTCAGCAGGACAGTGCCAGTGGGGCTAGGCCCCAGTGGGACAGTGACCATGAGGTCGTGTACCACCTTTGTGGTGTGAACATGCTCCAGGTTCATGGTTGGACATCAGACCCAAACGTACATCTAATGAGATCTGGATGCAGGCTTCTGGAGGTCGTCAGTGTTAGATGGGGCTCTTGAAGTGGCCCATGATGTCCTTCATGAGAAGAGGAAGAGCGACCCAAGTTGGCACGTCCCCATCCCCATGTGCCTCCCTCCACCCTGGTGATGGCACAAATAGCCATGGCAGGTGGGAGGATCTGAACCCAGACTCTCGGCCCCAGGCACACATAGGCCACAGGGTACGACATGTCCACCTGGGGCCACTCCAACTTGCTGTGCTGGGACTGGCCTGTCACTCCTTGAGTGTCACGGATGCAGGGGTGGTGAAGAGAGGCTTCTGCCTGCTGGGGGGACCTGGACGCCACATTCTTCAGAAGACCCAGCTGCCAGCAGGACAGGGGAGAGGAGCTGACCCTGATGCTACACCCTCACTCCTAAGCTATGTGTGGGACAATCCTAGTGACCGGTGCTGGTGCTGGCCCTGGCCTGGCCCATCTGAGGTCACCTTCCCCCCCATATCTGCTCTGACCCTCTTGTCAATCCTAGGGCAGCAGCAATGTGGCCATTCCACAGATGAGGAAACCAAGGCACAGAGCAGCCAGGTCACTCATTCTGAGTCACACATGGCCACCATGCTCATCCTGTCTGCAGCTTCTCCATGAATTTGCTTATTCAGTAGCACGCAAGCTGCTTGGACCCTGCCTCTCTCAAATGTTTGCGGAGGGCATGACCCTGAGCTGCTGGGCCTGGGCTCATCAGAGACTCAAATGTGGACCTATAAAAAGCTTTCTTTGGTGAAGCACAATGTGGAGGTCCTCATAGCACAGAACACTGGAGCACCAACTCTGACTGGGGGTGCTGCTGCTCCCTGCCCAGGAGCCTCAGAGCCCGGGTAACAGCTCCAGGCTCTCCTTTCCTGCACCATGAGCTCTAGACATTGGCGACACAGCCCAAGCATCCCTGCTATGCCTGGGTACTCGAGCCTTCAGAGGCCAGGTTTTCTGGGTAGGGGTGCTCAGCCAGTAACATCTTGTGCATAGATTCCAAACTTGCAAAACCAAACTCTGAAACACTTCCAGTTCCAAGCATTTTGAGTAAGAGATGCTCTACCTGTCCTGGGTGCTGCCACTCTGAACACTTCTATTCATTCAACAAACACTCCTGGTGGCCTTGCCATGGGAGCAGCTGCCGCCCTGGGGAGCCCACCGTGGAAGACTCAGCCATGCACAGCGCGCGTGGCTCTGGAGGCTGGGCAGCAGGGTGATGAGGCCCTAGAGCTACATCTGCCCAGGAACCCACACCGCACAGCACCCAGCACTGCAGCTCCCCACTCTGCCTCCAGCCTCGCACACTGTCCCCGGGGCCCAGGTCACAGTCAGGTGCTGGAAGTGACTGAAGTCAGAAATTGGTCATATGTGTGAGGGCAGGACAGAGCCAGAGGGCCTAAAGCAGTCAAGCTACCTCAGTCTTGAGAAAAGCATCCTGCCTGGACAATTTCAGTTGTTAGTCGCTAGGCAACCTTGTGTCTCACGATAGTAACTTTGCAAAAGTATCAATAAACACCCCTACTGTTGTTTTTGTTTTTGTTTTTTTTCCGGTACCGGAATCGAACTCACGACCTCAAGCTTGCTATGCAGGCTCTGTGCCGCTGAGCTAAATCCCCAGCCCCACCCCTACTGTTGTTGTTCAGCCCTCTTTTCCCATCTGGTAAGAGGCCTCCACCTGGCCCAGCTCTTGTCTCTTGTCTGTCTTTTCCTCATTCCCACCGCCCGCCGTTCCTCCCAGGGGTACACCAAGAGTGCAACGAGTCCCTACATTTAGGCAGTGGCCATGCTGCCACCATGGCACAGAAGTGACTTTAGAAAACCGAAGCTCAAAGGAGGCAGATCTTGCACCAGAGGCAACACAGGGTGGATTTCGCTGCCTGGGGGTGGAAATTACCTAACAGGACAGTTGAGGACCCTGGAGGAGTGGGCAGTTTCCTCTCAGTTGCCTGCCACTATGCACAGGAGATGCCCCTTCTCCCCCATGTCTGGGGTCCTGGCCAGCAGGGAGGAGTGGCCCCCACAAGCCCTCTGAGCTGGGGTTCAAAGGGGAAGGGGCCTACTGCATGCCACAGGCTCTGTGCGGCACTGCAGGTGAGTCAGTGGGAGAGTGAACAAAGACACCCCGCTCTCAGGAGAACCACCCCACAAACAAGAAGCAGTCAGGCATTTCCTTAGCGCGTCAGATGGGGCTGAAGACTAAATGGGGCCACAGGCCAGGTGGGGAGGCAGCAGTCGTACATGTCAAGGTCCTAGGGCGACAGAGGCTGAAGTGTCTGAGAAGGGACAGACTCGTGGG